TGTCAATTTAAATTTATTTATAAAAACGTATTTATTGGGTTAAAACAATTTAAATGATATAATTTTTATAAGTTTTTTTTATAAATTTATAAAGTTCAAATTAATTTCAAAAGGTTAAATCAATATTTTTATTTTTTGACAAAAAAAAAATCTTTCGTAAAAACTTTTTTTTAAATCTTATTAATTAATAACAATTGTTAAAATGAACTCTTGAAATGTCTACACATTCATTTGGTAATAGTTTTTTTTTATTTGTTGATATTCTTTTAATCGATTATCGTTTTTTTTATTTTTTTTTTAGTTTTTAAAATTTTATTCTTTTCAATTTTTAATGTATTTAACGTGATTTTTCACTTTTTTCCGAATTTAAACAAAAAATTAACATAATTCGAGTAACTTTCGGTTTAGTATTTAGTACAATCCTCCAGAGTTATATTTTTCTTTATATTCTTAAAATCGTTACCGATGAAGAAAATTTTAATTGGCAAAAAAGAATTCTACAGCAAAAAAAAAAAAAAAAAAAAAACAGTATTTAATGAGATTTGATATGAAAACAAGGAGAGACGAAGTTAATAGTTTAAAATTCCCCACAGAAGCTATAAGCTTTTTTTTCCTTTACGTCGTAGACAGAAAAAAAATATTCGAAAAAAAAACTTGTTGGAATATTCCAGTGGAAGAATTTAGTATTCAACTCAAATGTTTTAAGAAGATCCTAGGAAATAGGTAAATGTCCGCCTGGATTTGAATGAACCAAAGAAATGTTCCCGGATCATCATCATTATAAGTAAAGGTTAGTTGAAAAACACATGAGCGTGGAATAAGAAAACCCAGGTGAAGGAGAATAAGAAACTAAGTAAAGTGATATTCGTGAGATTTTTTCAGCGGATCGTGAAGAGAAATTCAAAGAGTATTTCGAGTGTGAATTCGAGCAGAAAAATTTTATTTTTCTAAAATTTTGAACATTTAAATTATCCAAGTTTATTTATTTATTCTTCAAATTCAAAATTTATTGTAATAATAGTGTGTCAAATATATTTAAAAAAAAATCTTTTATTTTTTGTTATATTTTTTCTCTAAATTTTTGTTTTTACTTTTTATATAAAATGTCAGTAATTTTTAAAAATATTTACATTATTCAAAAATTTAGTTTATTCAAACGTTCACCAAATTAAAGTCCACAACGTTGATCAACGAAAGTTTCAATAAATTGAACAATTTTTCAAAAGTTAATAAATTATTTTTTTAAAAAAATGAGATAAACACATATTCAAAATATTAAAATCCTTAAAAATCGATTTATCACTTTTTAATTCAAGAAAAAAAATTTATTTCTAAAAAATTTTCAATTTAAAAAATATTTTTGGCTATAACATTGATAGCTTTTAATTTTTTTATTAGAAAAAATTACCAAAACCTTTAAATTCCTTTATTACAATAGACTTTAATTACAAACAGAGCGATTTAAATATAAAAAATATTCAAAAATGAATAATTTATTACAATTTTTCTACATTAAAGTTAATTTTAATGGTTATGTGAAAATTGTCATTTGTTTAAATTTCTCAAAATGACAAAATTTCGATTTATCATGTTTTAAAAACTTACTCATCAATTATTCAAAAATAACGCACCAATATTGTCAAAAAAAATTAATAAAAAAAGTATAAAAAAGGTGGATTTTTATTTTTGTTTTGAGAATAATTTTATGTTATATAAATTTTTATTATATAAAAAAATAATAAATAATAATAAATAAAATATTTTAAAATGAATATTCAGAAACATTTAAAAAAAAATTTTTTCGTTGATCAACGTTGTGGACTTTAACTTCGTGAACGTTCAAAATTAATAAATCTCTTTTTTTTTATCGGTAGGATTTTTTTAATTTTTTCTAGAGTTTGCGTTAATAATTAATAAAAATTAAAAATTTGAAAGATATAATACTACTTTTGTTTTAAAATCCCGTGAATTTTACTATACCAAAAGTAAATTTTAGTATAAACAGCAATAAAATTTTTTCGACCTTAGTAGAGTTTCCACTAAAAATAGTAAAATTTATTCGTAAAAATTATTATTTCCCGAATAATTTGTATTATTTCGGAAGAAATTTTCTTTAAATAAAAGTTGAAAGAACTTACTTTATATGAAAAAAAAAATTGTTTGATTCAAATAACGAGTTACTTGTCCATTTTCAAATAAATATTTACTTAAATTAAATAATTTTTACTTAAATAAATCAAATAAATTGTATTTGAACCAATAATTTCAGTACTTTAAGCAAATACCATTTAATCGATTTAAATAAAAATTATTTATTACAAGTAAATATTTCTTTAATAATACACACGTAATCGGTTATTTGAATCAAATATTTCTTTCAGTGCAGAAATAATAAAATTTACTCTGAAAATAAATATTTTTTTTATAACTGTAAGTGACTGTTAGAAATTTAATGTTAATTTTTCGACCGTTTTTCTTTTAAAATATTAAATAAATTAAGCTTCGTAGTTTTTTGCAAATTACTTTAAAATATCATGTAGGAAGGGTAATGAGATGGAAAAGTTTTAATATTTCAAAAATTAATTATTATAAGAAATTAGAAATTTATTTTAAATTAATAATTTTATTTAATTAAAATTGGTAAAAAATAAAATTAAAAATGTCCGTCACAACTGATAATTTACCATTTTTTTATAATAATTAACTTTAAAAATGTTAAAACTTTTGCACATCACTACTATGCTTCTTTTTGCTTAATTTAGCATAATCAGCTTAATTTATTTATTAATTTTTAAGCTTTATTTAATTTAAATTTTTAAGTTTTAAAAAAATTTTTATTTATTTATTTATTAAGCGAAAAATGCTCGAAAAATTAACATTAAAGATCTAACAGTCACATGCGGTTAATACCAAATTCTACTAAGATGGAATAATTAAAAAAAATTTTATACAAAATTTATACAATTTTCTGTTAAAAATCGTTATTTTAAGAGTAAATTTTAATAAATATTAATAAAATTTACTTTTCACTTATGAAACTTGGAAAATTTATTCTGAAATTACTGCAAGTTGACAGAAATTCCAAACAGTTTGGATTTTTTACTTTTAGTGAAGAAGAAGTTATTTTATATTATCTCTCAATTTGAATCAATGAAATTCCACTGAAAATCAGTCAAATTTAACTGATTTAGTTTTAGACTGTTTGTTATCTTGAATTAAAAAATATTGTAAATTACAAAACTGAAAAAATAAATATAAAAAGATTTTTTTTCAAAAGAATAAAATTTGTCCATAGAACATTTTTTTCTAACTTACAAAAAATGACAATTTTCGTATGTTTTTCTTCAAAAAAAAGAAGGGGAAAGAGGATAAGAAGGGAACTAATATTCTGATCAATTTTCTATAAAAAAAGTAAAAAGGGAAATAAGGTATTATGTAAAAAGAGAACTAAATTGTGATCCATGTGATTTATATAAAACTATTATGACATTTATATTAATTTTAGAAACTTCTAAAACACTTCAAGTACGCTAAATTTTTTCAGATAAATTTTTTTCATTTGAATTTTCCCAGAATTTTTTTTTTTTTTTTTTTTTTTTTTTTTTTTTTTTTTTAATTGTTGAAATAACAGTTTAAGGAAATTGAAGCTTTTTTAAGTAAGTTTTTTTTTAACAATTATTTACTCATTTATAATTATATTTTATAATAATATTTATTTATAATAATTATTTAATTATTTATTTAATTGAATTATAATTAATAATTTCGTATTATTGATCTGAATTATTATTAATTTTCAAAATTGTAAAACTCGAATAATATATAAATGTAAGCCGCAAAATTTTCTACACGGACAGATTTTAACCTAAAATAAATATTTTAATCTGGAAATTCTACTATAATACGAACAGATTCGTCTCGTATTGTTTGTGCAATATTCCAAAGAATTTCCGACAGTCGAATCGGAAGTGAAATTAGAATTCCTTCGACGAACTCAGGGAAATCTTATGTAACTTTAATGGAATTTTCCTGATAAATAGTTAGAGTATTTAAATTTATTTATTTCAAAACTGAATTTGCAATCTCTACAATTTTCCCAAACGAATTCTTTTATTAAAATTATACGTTTTTCAATGATTTAATATCAGTTTTTTTTTTTTTTTTTTTTTTTTTTTTTTTTTTTGTATAAGTATGAAAACGTTGCATTGCAACAATTTTGAGACAAAAAAACGTGTCAAAATTGATGCACTGGAACATTTACGTTTTTTTCTTTCGATATCTTTAGAAAAACTATGATATTGTAAACTTAAATATACTTATAATTATAATTTGTGATGTTTGTGTTTTTTAATTATAATTATAGGAATACTTTGGTATTCCTATTATTATAATTAAAAAAAACTGCTATGGAATTTTTGAACACAAAAAAAAGTTTAGAATAATCATAATGGTTGGTACTAATTTATATGCAGAAATTGGATTCTCAATAGCAGATCTAAAATTATTATATCATCTTGTCAATACCATTTATTATGCACGTACTTTACAATTACTTGATCCATTGAATTGGATTCATTATATCCATTAATTACAATTGAGAACAAAAATATCCTCGTATATCGTAAATGCTAAAGTTTATTAAAACCTTTTCTCCATTTTTTTTTTTTTTTTTATATAAACCGAACGAAATTCTAGTTTTTTCATAATAAAAATAAAAATTTAATGTAAGAAAACCATCTACGTTTTTTCATTTTCCGCACGAATCGAAAAGTACAATGATATTTCCGCAAAACGATAAAAACGAAAGCGTCAAGTATTATCGGCCTGTCATTTGGTCAATGAAAGAAGAAAGAATCGCGAACGCGGAAACCGCAAATTGCACTGTAGCAATAAAAGCAATTAATTGAATGCAGAGCGTGACGATGCTTGCGGTTACTCTCATTATCTCTAATGTCAAACCAATTTCGTGCTTCTGAATAGCTATTGTATACTTTACTCACAGGCTTTGCGACAGAAATTTTGAGAGCGCCAACTTGCTGATACGATTATTTTTTAGGCTGTCAAACATCGTTGATGCTGCGTAATCCATTTTGGATCTTCGATTCTATTTCAAAACAAAGTTTCTCCACACAGTTTTTTTTTTTGACAACGATTTCTTCTTTTGGGTAGGGGAAGTATTTTCACACAATGCCTGATGGCATTATGAAAACAAATTCTAATTGACGGAAAATCTTTTTCATTTTTTTAAATTTAGATTCAACTTTTGAAGATTTGATGGATCCAAAAAATAATTCCAGTTCATATATGAATTCCACTTATGTAAGATTCACTCTTGAAATTTTTTACCCATTGGCCTTGCCCGTATCGTCCTTGAACGTGGTCCTTCCTCAATCACAATCTGTCACTTGCGATCCCGACCCACTTAAAAAATCCGGCGCACCAAATTCACACCCGAGAGAGATACACTCTCAATTTCTCTCCCCCAAAGATCCGCAGAAAATCTCACAAATATCACTTCACAGTTTCTCTCGCATCTATTTTAACTCTTATCCCACTGTATTTTTTTAAATCACTTTTCTCAATTTACTATTTTTTCTCATCAGTTGCATTTTTCTCGGCAATATATTTATTTGCTTCTCTTCACACAAAAAATTTCCATTCCATACTCTTTGTCAAATTGTAGAATGAAACTGTAAAAATTACTGCTTTCTGCAAAGGATGAAAATTTTTTTCTTTATAAAATTTCTAAGGCGCTAAAACTGCGAGGCATAAAAACTGAATCGAAATCCTTATAAATAAGTAAATATTTTTGTCATTGTTGATTTATCAGCGATCGATAGATGTCGACGCACGTCTAGGTCACTATGCCGATTGTAACAATGACTTCGCTGTTCGAAGCAAAGGCCTCTGGAATAATCTATGTAGGTACTTGTTATTTTTTTTTTGGTTAATAAATACCGTAAACTTCAACGATTAACGACAATATTGCTCGCAAAAAATTCAACAGCAACAATTTCTCGCATTGGAGTACAAATTACGATATAAACAAGGGGAACTGGGTTTTCTACTAAGCTCAACAATATTGTATCTTAATTTATGCTTTCTCAGTTAGAAAAGGTTATTTTAATAACCAGTCACCAATCGTTGCTCGAAATTTTTCACCTTAAGACACTTGATTGGTAGCATTTCTCCGATCTGTATGATCTTTTCTATTATATCGATTGCTCTTCTAAACTTTACCAATTGTCTTCTGTTTCGAATTCTCTAAGTTGCAGGATTCAATCGATTCTTAACGTTTTTCTTTTTGTACCTTTAGATTTATAACTTTAAACATTTTTGAACTACCAAAAGGTTTCAATTTCAACAAGTAGGTTATCAATTCTTAATTGCAAAAATTTTGCTATCTTCGATTTCTAGTTTCTTCAAATCAACATTAAATTAATGATGTCGATTTGATCAATATTTAATTACTTGAATCTTAGATTTAAGGCTAACGTTTCTTAATCACGTCTCTTTTCTTAATTTTTCCCCTTTAAAGAACAGACTTAATTCTAAAGATTATCTTGAACGTTTTTAAACAAATTCTACTTGTTTTGCACGAATTTAAATTCGTTTTATTTAAAAACTTTAGCGAACTCTAATTATTGTAATTTTTGATTCGATCGATTAGACTCCTGATGATAAATCTTAATCGTTGTCAACTTTAGGAGATGAATGTGATCACTATCATCAATTAAAGTATAGTTGAATGGAAGAAGAATTTTTTTCCGAATCCTTTAGAAGAAAAAATATTGAGATTTCCATCACGGAGAAGAAGAACTTTTTTTTTCAAGAAAAGAAAAAGAAAAAAAGGTCCATCAATTTTTATCTTTTTGCCGACAATCAATGGATATAGCACAATCACAACATCACATCCTATTTTCCACAAAAAGTAGATAACGTCATCTACGTGAGTATCTCGTCTAACGACCGGAAGTACAATTACCGAGTTCCAACGTGGCTCTGAGGTACCACGAGACAGATGATTCTCTCCTGTTTCTAGATCGATTTTCAAACTCCAGGTGTCTATCTCGAAACGGAAGCTGAGACTTCCTGGTTTGCATCTTAAGATTCTAAATATGGAAATCAGGAATTTTTTTTTGTACACCTCCACCTCCGCTTTTTGTAGTTCTGACGCACACTTCAACACTTTTCAGGGACTAATGTTTTGTTTTTGTTTTTTTTTTTTTGACGCAAAGAAAGATTGAGACGTAGAAAAATGACAAATACGAATAGAGAAGGAGTGTTTTCAAACCGATGGGCAATTACGAGCCCTTGGCCAAGCGCGTACTCCCGCTGTGGTTGTCGGTGTGACCTACTCGCACTGCTCTCAGCTGCTTCAACCCCCAGCTATTCCACCCCCGGTCGTTTTCAACCCCACCGAACTCGGGTAACCCCCTCCAAACGGTGAGGTACTTCCGCGCGCCTCCTCGCGCATCGAGAAATTTTCTCTCTCACTCTCTCTCTCCTTGCCTCTCACCTACTCTCAATCCTGTGTCTAACCCTACTGCCCCAAACCCTCGCAAACCGCCCATCAAACAACCCCCCCCCCCCACCGGCCTCGCTTCCTTCTATACTACACTACTCGCGCCAGCTGACTCACATCCTTCACCGTGTGTGAAATCGTTCCACCAATTCACCGAAACGATTTCAAGACTTATCGGGAGACGGAGATCGCACTTTGTCATTCGACTCAGATCAGGAGTCTTGAAATTGTTCAACAATAGATAAAAGTCTTGGTGTTGAGGGCTCTTGAAATACAATGATCATGTTTAGTTATCGGAATGGGTATTATGACCACTATATAAGAGATTACTGTTAGGATTAACAATTGAAAAAAGTAGTAATCAACTGGTTGGGGATGTATCAGTTTCTAATAATGATACCAATGAGAAATTGTTCTCCGAATTGTATGACATCCCTTTGTGACACTATGAGAGAATGTTAAGATTTTGAAGCTTAAAAGTAGATGTTATCCGGTACCGGCATTATGCTATTGGGTACCATCAAAGATGGTACAAAAATATTTATGTCATACTAAACGGGACCAAGTACTTATGTTGTAACGTAAATATTTCATATTTACTGTGATTAGAATTTAAAAACTTTAGACCATTAACCTTTAGGCTTCTTTAACAAAGCCTAATACTCCTAATACTCAGTGAAATAAATCTGTAACAGTTATGGAACAGTTTATTGGTATAAACTGTTCCATAACTGTTACAGATTTATTTCATATCTATGTCATCCCAAACTTGTAACATCCCCTGGTACAAGTTTATGATGACATCCCCATGGGCGCGAAAGCGTCTTTATTCTGAAAAAGTTCCTAAAACATTTTTAGAACATTTCATGTCTGCTACATAACGGCTTAAGAACGTCCAATATTCTAAAAACGTTTTTAGAACATAAAACGATCGAAACGATCTCAAGATGTTATGTGTAGGACATAAAACGTTCTGTTGAAAAAAGGAAACAAAGAAATTTTGAGTATTGCTTTTATCTTGATTTTATTGTGGTTTTTCTGTCTCGACAAATTTATATATTTATTGTTTCGTTGAATGTCCCCTATACTACATGAGCCCTTTCCTTTGTTTACTAGTCTAGACCTGAATTTTGTTTATTGGTTAACTATCTATAAAATCCTCCTCTACTTGTATCAGATCCCTCGAAGACCTCTCCTCCCCACCATCCCTCTTCTCTTCAGTTTTCGGACGGGCCAGTTGGTTTTCGTCATTGAAGCTCATCGGTCTGAGACTTGTCAACGCAGCAACCCCTTTTGGCTCATGACCACACGGTGTCAGCTAAGGAACTACCTCGATGTCTGTTTCAAGTCTCCACGTGGTAAAACCGGCTTTACTAACTGATTTTGACAACAGTTATGTATCCTTTTCTTAATTTTGTCATTGTGTTTGAATCTACAATTGCTAATTTATTTTGATTAATCGCCCTAAGCGACTTTGAATAAAGTTATCTATATTAAACATAATTTGAATTCCCTTTTTTTACAATTCCCTTATTCTTTTTATTTATCATATTATACACGTTCTAAAAACGCTTTAGGAAGGTTCCTAGAACAAAGATGTTTCCGTGCCCACAGGAATCGATATGGAACAAATCTGTAACAGTTATAAAACAGTTTTTTGGTGTCCATTGGGTATAGACCAAGGTTTTTCACAAAATAGGTGTGATATCGTCATCGTCGACTATGACTCTATCAATCATAAAGGCTATTTTCTGCACTCGCCCCGAGTTAACTCATGGTTAATGATAGTTGGTTAGCTCCTACAGAATGTCATTTATGATTGGATCATCGTTAACTCTGGATTAACTCTGAGTGCTCATCTGGTACAAAGCTCGAATCTTGCAATGATAGTAGGTTGATAACACAATTAAAATTGTCTTAACAAATAGTTCCTTATGACTGAAATCGCCTCTCTTGTTTTTGGCAAGATAGACAATCGAAATTGTCTATCAAAATTTTTTTGTGTGTTGGCTTTTTATGGAATCTTAAATCTTATGACAGAAATATCTCTCGAGTGCTTCGTCAGCAGTTATTACATGATCCAAGGTTCGTTGTTGGTCATTGAAATCTCCTTCAAATTCACATAAAATAGGAAAAAAAAGGTTGGTGGTGAACTTTAGCCATTTTGGTGGTGTAATTAATATCCGAGGAAAGTGTTTGGGGATAACCCTAAATTCAGACGACAGTCCACCGCATGGCCATGACAAGAGGACGCAATTGGAAATAAACAATCGTTACAATATATTTACACCGGAAATCCTGAAAATGATCCAATTGTACGTCAGGAAGCTCAAACACTTGCTGACCAAATTGTCAAGTACTATTGTGGCAATTGAAGTCTGGTACAATACATTATTCCAGGTGAATGTAGCCTGAAAATTACTACAAAATCCTTCTGCAGATGTTCATCTGGTTAACAATGTTTTGGATTCTTGAGTAAAATATTTACATGCTACCGTAATGCTTTGAAAAAGCAGTAATTGTTGCTAAAGAAATTGCAGAAATATTTTAAGTAGAACCTGACAAATCAGTTGACTGAACTGCACTACGAATTTTGTTAACAACGCCTGTTTCTGCTGCATCTGTTGAACGAAGCTTTTCGAAGCTGAAATTTATAAAAACGTATTTGAGTTTGAATATGATTGATGATAGATTAAACTGTCTTGTAATCTTGTCGATTGAAAACGATATATTCGAAACAGATTTCTCAGATCTTATTGATGAATTTGCACATAAGAAGAGTTGAAAAGCAAAATTTATTTAATGTTACTACCTGGGCTACTAATTTTAAACAAGTATCACTAATATTTTTGCATGCTGTATTTTTGTAACAATAAAAGATTTTAATATTCTTCTAACCTACAATTAAGAAACAATATTAAACAAAAAAGTAGCAGTAAAATAAATTTTTTAGAATAATTCCACAATATGATCATCGACAAATTATTTTTGGTGGTGTATGAAGCTTAGTAGATGTCAAAATTAAAACCATCTCACAAAACGTTCATGCGGACGACCACAAATAAAAAGTATAAAGAAAAACTTAATAAATATTTAATGGAGCGATTTGATTGTATACTTTTTCAATCATTAAATCCACCCTAGGTAAAATAACAAACAGTATTACAACTTAATGTAAACAAAATTCTTCAAAAAGTATATTTATATAACAAACAAAACTTTGAAAACTCAAATAATTTGTAGTAAACATGTCTAAGCTTTTTGTTTCCTTATTTATTCATTCATTAAACTACACTTGGTTTGAGGTAAGCTGACATTATGAAACAAAAAAAGAAATAGAAGTTCAGAACAACAATTTCTTATTTGAATGATATTAATGACAGTGATACAAAGTCATTAGGAATTTTTTTGATAATATATCGCTAAAAAATTAACTCCAAATGACATAAATTTTCTATTAGCTTTTTTTAACTCTCACTAATTTACTATAGGAAAATGACACATCGATTAAGCTCAAATTAAGAATCGATAAGAGTCTAATGAAATATTTAAACGCCATTATTTGTAATTTAAGCTAAATAAAGTGAAAGATAAGATTGAGAAAATAAAATAGTATAATAAATAGTATTTAAATAAAAAAATATTTTTTAATTGATTAATTTTTTACTATTAACAACTATTATTTAAAAATAACTTTTCATTTTAAAACAGATAGTATAAAATATAAGATCTTGATATAATTATTATTGGCAGGAGAAAATTTATTTTTCCGTAACCTGTTCGAATAATTTGATGGCTCTTATATTACGTGATAATCTAGATTAATTCTATAGATATAGTTTACATTAGGGATGTTTCCAATGAGAATAATTTGGCATACGTGGAAGAAGTAACTAAATATTGTTTCACAAATATAATCAACATTAAATATGAATGTAATTTACTGATAATCTTTTTTTTATTTTTCTAATACGGTTCCTGAACTATTAATAATTAATTTCCCAGTATACAAATTTTTGAAAATAAGACGCATATATTCAAGTACATGAAATCTGATAATAAAAATACATAAAGATTGATTAATTTTGTAGGGATAAAAAAACTTTTATACGTTAATTTTTAAAAAATTTCATATTAAGATTTTTTGTTATGGAAAAAAATAATTATCTTATGCGCATTAAATATTCTTCCTTTGCTACGTTTCTGGTTTATGAATTTTTTAAAAATTCTTTTTTGTCATATCAAGCAGAAAACTTAAAAAGTTTTCGTATTTTGAAAAATTTTCTTCATATTTTACTAAAAAAAAAAACAGAACATTCTATAAAATACGTATTATCTGTAATGTAAGTAAAATATCATTCAAATACTCTGAGCGTGAAAAATTCTATTTTAAGGTAGGGTCAATTGGGGTAGATACAAACAAGAGGTAAATACAAAAACAGTAATTACTTTAGCTTAATTTAAAATTTAAAATTAAATACGACAGGAAAAGTTTAAGCTTAGATGATCACTTTAAAGAGGTTCTGAGAATTATCCCCTTTTCTTGTTTGGCAATTAGCAGCAGTATAAGCGAAGATAATTTTTTTTTTAAATTAAAACCATAAAAGTAACTTTTTTCGTATTTTCTTTTGTATTTAAATAAAAAAAATTATATTATTATTTATAATTATTTATTACGTTTATGGCATAGCATTTTTTCCTTATATTAGAAATTTTCGAAAGTCAAAATGGCGGCTCAAAAATGGCGTCCAAAATCTCTAAAATTTTACACAATATTTCAAGAACATTGCATTTAAATATTTCAAATCTTTAGTGAAATATTTAATATTATGTACTGAGTGGGGTGGATAATAAACGTAAGAAAAGAAGAAAGTTCCTTTTTCTATAATGCCCACAAAATAATTCTCTTTTTCCCTCTTCAAAAAGAATCTACTCATAAAATTTTCTTTAAATTCACTTATAAAACATTTCTACTTTTTATATTTCTAGAAAATTGATTAGTTTTTATATTCTT